TGAGATTTAAAAAATGATGGAGGTTTGATAACAAGGATGGAGGTTTCTGAGGAAGATTTACTGTGCGTTAGAAATGCTGCTATGCTTTGCACTTTGTATGTGAAAATAAGAGAGAGCATCTTAGTGAAGACTGGTTCCAGTCAGGAAAGCCTTTCAAGTTATTTTGGCTTTTTTGACAGATAAGTTGCCTGTCTGTAGTAAAATTTTCTGTTCATCAGGGATCCAGGGTTGCAGAGCAGGATTGTGGGGCAGGAATCTACATTACCCAGTGAACAACAATAATTTAAATAAACCCCATGATGTAAAAGGCATATGCATTTATGAATTTATATTATTAGGATTACTGTGCTGTTAGGGAGGATTGTCACACTGAATTTCTTTTCAAGAGTGCAGCTTCAAGTAATATAAACCCATTATTGATCTGACAATATCAAAAGACAGTACAAGGCAGGCATTAGCTAGCACATTAAATGTGAACACAAAGCAGCTGTGTTCTTTGGGGAGCTTGTCTGCCTCGGCACTATGTCTGGTACCCTTTGCCACAAAGCCTCTTCTTTGCCTAGTGGTTGAAATACTTTTATGACAGCTCCTTGGCATGTCCTGAGGCCTCCTCTGTCTAAATGCTGGCATGAGTTCTTTCATCTATTCTAGAGTGTTTCTCTCCCTCTGTTTTCTCCTGTCAGGCCTCCATGTTGAACAAGAATCCTGCTCCATAGGCTTGGTACAAATGGTGCAGAAATAACCACTACACAGAGTGCTGAGGGTTAAAGAAGGGCATTCTTTTAACCTGCTTCCCGTCTGATTTGTTTAGGTTGTTTTCCCAAATAGATAAATAAAAGAGGGAGTATGTATGTATCTGGATTTATTGTACAATTTGAGAATATTACATAGAAGGATAGACCTCTTTAAGACATTGAACTCCTATGTGTGTTGTGACAGTTGGAAGTCAGCTGATGGAATAGTGTCTTGATGGACAGAGGAAGTGCAGTGTAAACTCACCACTTACTAAACAGTGACAATCTTCATAGGCATGGGTTATCACAGACCTCTATCCATGCAAAAAGCTTTCTTCTGAGATCACGCCAGAAAACTGAGGCATGAGGCAAGCAGGCTTCATCAGTTCAGACACTAGAAGTCCTTTTTTTTAACCTTTTTTCCCCCTCTGAAAGAAGGGAAAATCCAAAAGAGCAGCATAGGAATTGCATGTTCAACTCTAAAGGCTGCTCTTGTATGAGCGGTATATTAACATGATGCACAGAAGCAGGCTCTTCAGAGATGCACAGAAACACAAGCAATATGTGCAGTGATCCTGTCTAGGGAAGCATCCCTTGAGCTGTTACAAAAATGGTTGGGAAGCACTTCCTGTCCAGGCAGCTCCATAATGACACTATGGCATTATAACATGTTCCACATTCTGATGTTCTCATTACCTAGGTTTTACTTACAGACTGCCAGGCACTGAGTATGTGAGATAATAGTTTAATAGCACAGTGGTGCAACAAACAAGTGTTAATGGAATTTATCATCCATGCAACTGCAGGTGTCTTCCAGGGTCTAGGCAATTTAAAATGTCTGAAAGTTTGTGATCTTAAATGAGCTATATATCTCACTTAACTAGGATGAGCGTCTAGTAATTGCTTGGAGCTGTAACCAAATTGGGGGCTCAGCTTTTGTTTTTTTTTCTTTTATGCTACAGCTGATTATCTCTTGTTTTCTGTAACTTTGCCTCCCGAATTTCCAGTTCTGCTCTGTATGACCTTCTTCTTTCTTAGAAGTGCTGTGTGTAATAGGAGGTAGAAACGGGATGTTACAGGACAGAGAATGTTTGCAGTGTGGAGGAGATGTTTGTGCATTGTTTCATCTCTGGATATGAGGTTGGTATTTTAACAAGAATAAAAAAAGCCTCTTGGTCATTGAGTACTGATAATGTTTCAAAATGCATTCTGAGTGGGAAAAAGACAAGAGTGAGAGTGACTGGTGGAGCAAGAGAGGTCCAGTTCCTGCTTCTAGTGCAATAGGAAGTAGGAGTCAAGTCAATGCACCACTGATTCCTAAGTATGAGAGCTTTGTAAGCACAAAAGGAACAGGACCTAACTCCTAGCAGGGCTTTCCCAAACTGTGCCTCTAGATTATTTCTCGGTAGCATCTTCAGTTAACTACAGGATAGCTGTGCCATGTTGTAAAGAACTCTTGGCTGTCCAGAGGAAGCTCTTTTCCATTAGGATTGGGGTTGTTTGAAAAAACATTTCTAAACTTTGCTGATGAAGCATGAGTTCACGCAGTATGTGAATCGCGGGCAAAAGTGCAGTCTGTCCTTCTACAACATGCTCACGTGCTGGAAATACTATCAAATGGATTGGTTTGTTTTGTGTGGGTTTTTTTTTGTTTGTTTGTTTCTTTAATATGCTACAGTTAGTTGGCTTTGGATTAGTGCTGGTGTGGGCTTTGGAAATCCTTTTCTATGTCTCTGCTTTTTGCACTTACAACTACATACTGTAGTAGCTTCTGAAAAGATTAAAATTGCTGCCCTTCCCAGAGAGAGAAAAAGCCAACGTCTCCCTGATGTGACCGTGCAGAATCAGAAAGCACAGTGGCCAGTGAACTTCTACTGAACTCTAAGGAAGCATTAAACAAAACAGGAAAAGGGTCCTCAATCTTTAGAGGCATAGGCATGAGAAGAAAGTGCAAGTGATGGTGTAGCACTGTAAGTCACATCGGACCTTTATCTTTCCTGTTTTCTGAGTTTCAGCAGTTTAAAGGGTTCAACTGTAGCCACAAACAACTCGTGGAAGTGGAGGACCACTGGAATGAGTGTGTGTGCTTTAGGTTATCTGGAATAATGTGTTTTTAACGCAAGAGGCAAAGACACATGTAAGCCAGCAAAATACGCGATAATAGCGGTAGTAGTATTGTGACCAGTGGATGTATAAAGTGTCCAGGTCATTTTATACATAACAGTTATACATCCATGTCAGTCTAATTTACATTCATCATGTTAAAGCTAGTTATATAATTAAAAAAAATTCTAGCTGTACAACATATATATGATATGATAAAATATATATGATATATTTTTTTAAAGATGGCTGATTTTGCTGGAAGCATGCTCCCAGAATTGTCATAGGTTCTTAAAACTGAGTACCACCCCGCCCCACCCCACCCCGCACCCATAACCTGAGTAACTCTGTTAGCATCAAACTGTAGGTAGAGCAAACCTCAGTCCAGCCTAATCCTCATCTAAATCTCCAATCCAAACATACTGTCCGGTCACCCGAGTTCTTCAGAGAACAGTTTTTCAGGACTTGTTTGCGTGAATAGTTTGAATCATTTTAACTATGCTGAAGCAACCAGGTAAGTGAATCTCTCCACGTGTCTGTAATGAAAGAGTTTGCATGAGCATTATTTCTGTGTAGCTTATTCCCATAGTACAAGGCCAGAGAGCTACAGCGATGTAGAGCAGCACAGTCTGTACCCACACTTGGGATCTGACTAACAAACAATTCAGTTTGAAAAATCTACTCCTGCTGAGATTATTGTATTGGCACAGTACTTCTCCATCTTTTGCATCTTGGCCATGTTTTTTGTGATTTTAAATTCTTTGTTCACTGATGATATGCTTTCCTTGGCTTATAAACTCATACAGAGCCTGTACCCAAAGTGCTGCAAGCCAAGCAAGCAGACTTGGCAGCCAAACCATTTCTTACTTTCCTGCAGCATGTACATTCATCAGAGCTCAGAATAGCCAAACTTTGGAGCCATACATAGGGTACGACCTACCTTCTCCTAATGGTGGTTTCCTTCAAGTTTAAAAAAACCACCATAGTTACCCTGTTTTTATGATTGGAACTTTCTGTGCTACTGGTATAATAGGTAGCAATCTAAGCAGCTCTCCACTGGGGCTAGTGAGAGTTAGCTCAGGAATCCCTGAACAGCACTGCATTGGCCCACACAGAGCTGGTCATCTGCCAGGCATAGAATCATAGAATCCCTTCTAGCTGAATTCCTTCTTCTGCTCTACATGGTCTCAAATACTGATGAGTCTCAGGCAGTCCTCACTAATCCTTATTTTCTTTCTAAAATCAAAATACTGCAGTATAAACTGTGTAGGTTGCTAGGTAAGGGAGCAGTCACACAGGTGAACACCATGCTTTCACCATCCTCTGTGGCTGCTCTAAAATGGGATTGCCACCGAAAAAGGCAGCTTGGTGCTTTCTTTACCTGGCCTTCTTCCAGCCTCTGCCTTGTGCCACTATAAACAGGTAGGAAGAAGGATGCTGATCCAGGCTGGGGAATTGGCTTGGATTAAGACTAAATACTGTTGTCAGTTTTATGAGTTTGTTTTAGTCCAGCTCAGTTTCTAGCTCCCTGATCCTGTTGATGCACAGCCACATGAGCACTTGACCTGTTGTAAAAGAAGGGATGGCAGAAGGTGAGAACAAGTGGCAGGTTTTGGAGAGACTGCATCAGTAAACAGCAATGTCTGATTTAGTTGACTGTAAAATAACACTTGGATTTCCAGCTGGTGAGGCCAATCCTCCTGTGCAGTCTCTATGGGCAACAGGTCATTAAAAGAAGTTAAATTGGGTTGATTCAGCCACTAGAGGGGCCTCCCTCCCATGAGCCTTTGCACAAACCCTTTAGTGGCTGGCTGAAGTTTGTCCCTTGGCCTTTGTGATTTTGAATGCAAAAATCAAAACTGAGATTTCGTCCCCAAGGCCTAACTTTCACTGCTTTATCATTTAAAAGCTGCTGGTCCAGAGTACATTTGGAGAAGTTCCCAGACAATAGCTGAGATTATAATGTGTTTTGCCAGTACTTACATTAAAAAAAAAATAAACTGGAAAAGCTCAGCTTCAGTCACATGCATCCTCTATTGAACCACTGTGAAAATAAGTCGTATCTGGGCTTTTTATGAATCTCACAGTAATAAATCAGATGTAGATATAGCAGAGACCCGAGGAAATGGTAGCCCACCATGGTACTCATGCATTTCTCTTCAGGTGCCTCACTGGTGATGACAGATGCTTGTGCAGCACCAGGGCTCTTCGTTGAGTCCCTCAAAGCCAAGAAGAAGCTGCAGTGCAACACATGCAAGGGTTTTTCATGCTCCCTCCTGCCTACAGCCTCATTCCAGCAGTGTTGTGTTAGCACATGATCCAACTTGGCAGTTTGACTGCAGAAAGGAAAGACCTGTCCTGATGTGGAAGACTCGGCCTTCTGCTGCCTATCTGCAGCATAGTAACATCTGTTCTGTAAGAATAAAAACTAAAGGTAAATTGTAAAAACCTTAAACTACATGCAGTGAAAAATATTCACCTTCTTTCCAACCATTGCATAAGCTCCTGTCATGGCTTCTGCCAGGTGCTAGGAAAACTGCTTTTAGTCATTCATTGAGAAAATATACTTCGGTAACTAATGAAGTTAGTTAGGAGATGCCTCATCTTATCCTAAAATGAACTCCCATGGAATTTCACTAGCTTGGTGCCACACTGAAAGTGTCCAGCCTCCTCAGAGCCCCAGTATTTGTTGAAGGAGTTAGAAGACAAGGTGTGAGAGGTTCCAGCTAAACAAGGGAAACCTGCTTTGACCTGTAGCTGAAGCTCAGATGAAGATAGTTCTGCTTGCTGGAGGGCTCAAGATCTTAATCAACCCTCACCCCTTTAATTAGCATGAAACAGCTCAGTAGTTGCAGCTTACAGCATTGGGCCACAGAAAGCTACAGGAATAGTCAGCCTGCTCCTGATCAGGAATTGGGTAAACATTACCCTGGGGCTTCATGTGGTCACAGGTTTGGCATTGCCTGAACTGGCTTTGCAATGTAAACAGAGGATTGTAATTTATGTAGAAATATTGTGCAGTAAAATGCAGTACAGTGGCGCACAAGATGAAATACAGTCCCCACACCTGAACTTGTTCAAGGGTTAAAAAATAAGAAAACAACAAAAACCCAGTCTAAAATGAAGGTACTTACCAGCATTCTCCTTCCTAAGATTGAATGTGGTCTCTGATAGGCATCATTCATGTTTGCCTATATTTGAACAAAGCAAATTCCTCCTTTGTAGCTCCTATGCTTCATTTCTGCAGGAGCCAAGAATGCTCAACACCTCTGAAAACCTGCTGTCCCATATCTGGAGAACAGTTCATAAATCAATCTGTCTCTGCAGACTGTATTTTAGATTGGTCTGAAACTGTGACAGTTCTTAAAGAAAAATCATTCAGAAAAATAATGTAGGAAGATGGCTTCAATCATGTCGTGTTTCAATACATCCATGCTCTGTTCTGATACAAATACAAATGTTGAGCTTAACATACTGATGCAAATTTTAATAAAGTCTAAAATAAGTCCATAAGTTCAGTAGCTGAAATAAAGCATCAGTCCTGGCAAAATGAAACACTTCAAACACGAAAACCAAATCAGTTTGTTGCAGATTCTTTCTTAATTTTGATAATGTTTGATAAAGTTTTCTATTTGGACATTTTTGAGTTACAAATTTTCCTGAAGTTACCCTGCTTCCCTGAAGGGTTTAAACATCAGGGACATGTTGTGCAGCAGGAATCACGCTATCAAAATACATTTACCAATTCTAATGACATTAATTAATGAACTATGCAATATGTAGGAACATAAGATAAAAAGTGGTCTGAAAAATAAAGGTTGTAACATAACCTATAACATTTTGCCATATCAATGGCAAATGATTTAATAGTAATTTAATAAACATGTATAGTTCTCAAAGCAACCACTAATGGAGAAAAAGTACAATTATATAAATTTTAAAAAAACACTGGTGAGAGCTGTTTGCAGGTGATTCCACTCCTGCATGCTTCTAACAGACTCTTGGTTTGGGATGACTTCACTGTTCATGTAAGTAATGACTGGAATGTAAAATGGTCTCTGCCTGCTCCCTAGCTCAGTGACCCCTTTCCCCTTTCGTGTTTAAGGTTTTCCTGGATTTCCCCCTGCATTCCTTTGAATGGATCCTTCTACCACTTTTCTGATAACTATGGTAAAGTTATTAAACCACATTTGTTGTGGCACTGTGAGTCAGCAGAACTTGCTGAGCTGTTTCAGCTGTATGGGGTTCTGAGCCTGATGCACAGAAAGCATCGTTGTAGGAGCATCATCTGAATCTTGGTTCAGGGTTGTCTTCCACAGAGAAAGACAATGATTATAAAAGCTACGCTTGACATTCCCAAAGAGACAGAGAAAAACCTCCCAGCTGGATGATACTAATTTCAGATGAAAGGGAGGAAAAAAGATGGGGAGATTATACTTGTGCTGTGAGATTCCACATTCTTCCTCTGGAGCACAGAACAGCTGCCTCTGTGTTGAGGAATGCACAACAGAAAAATCAGAATGCCAGCTCATGGGGGCATTGCTTGCCTTCTCCTGCCTCATAAAATAAAAGAAAAAGCTAAAGAAATAAATAGCTGTTACTGAAACTTCTGGTAAATCTTTACAGATACTTGCCAGATACTGGAAGAAGGAAGATACTGGTTTGCAGTGAAACCCTGTATTTACTGGAACCTTTTTTTTTTGCGAAACACGTACACCTGTATACTGAATAACTGGTTTTATTTACCGGTTAGGAAATCTAAGTAGCTGTATAAACTGTTCTTCCTTTGGAAAACCAAGTTACGGCGGGGTCAAGTACCGGCATCCTTCCAGCTCCCGGCCGGGCCCGGCAGTGCGGCGACCCGGCGCTGGGACGCGGCGCGGGGAGCCCTTTCAGGAGGGATTTGCCCAGGGGAAGCACGGCCGGGCGCAGGCCCGCTCCCTTTCCCGCGGACCCCTGGGGTTGCCCGGGAGTTGCCCCCACGCTGTCGCCTGGAACTGCTTTTTGGGCAAGGCGGCGCGGCACGACTACCCTTGCCAGGGCACGGTACAGCTCAGCTCCCCTCGGCCGGCAGACCCTGGGCACTCCGCCCGGCAGTAGCTCCGGGAGAGGGGGGCAGGATACCCGCGGGACGATACCCACGGCAGCAGCCTGCGGTCAGCAGAGCCGCTGGAGAAAGCGGCGAGAGCGACGAAGGCGGCGCAAACCGCAGCCCGAGACCCAGCCCGGGCCAGGCGAGGTGCTGGGCGGTGGGGCAGTGGCCGCGCTGGCACGAATCTCTGCCGGACGGGCTGGCCCAAAACCAGGGCACTGTCTCTTTAACGCGCAGCGCTGCCCCAGGCGCCCCCTGCTGGCCGTCGGACGGCAGGCGGGCGCCGTGCCCGCCGGGCTGGCGGCGGGCGAGGTCCTTCGGTACTAGCGGGGCCGCGGCGCGGCGGGTGTGCCCTGCCGGCGCTCGCCCACCCCCTCGCCCGCCTCTCTGCTGTGGGTGGGATCGGGAGAGGAGGGGACGAGCCAGGGGAGGAGGAAGTGGAGGCGGCTGCGAGTAGCGGGCAAATGGGGAGCTGAGAGGCTGCAGCCGCAGAACCGCGGTCGCGCAGCAGCAGCAGCCGCGGCGGCGGGCAGGCAGGCACGGAGGCGAGTTCGGCGGCAGGGTCGGTCCGGGCGGACGCGGCCCTGGAGAAGGGTGGCGGGGTACCGCGGCGGGTGCCCCTCGGCGGGCAGCGGCGGCATGTCTGGTCGGCTGGCTGCTCAGGGGCTAGTAGCTCAGTGGGCCGGCAGGGGCAGCGGCTTCCATGCCAGCACAGGCACCTTCTTTGCCTGCCTCCGTGAGGTGCCTGCCAGCGCGGGGCAAGGCCTGCCAGGGGCTGCACATCGCTTGCTGCCGGCGGCGGAGGCTGCGCCTGGCTCGGTTCAGCGGCGCAGAGCGGGCGGGCGGGGGGTAGCGCCTGCGTCCTCCGCGGGAAGCGACTGATTTTCCTTTCTCTTCTTAACGCCGTTGCTTCGCAGGCGCCGAGAGCGGTAACCGGGCTGCCTCCGCCACGCTGGGCTGATTCCTCGAGGGGCTGCCGCTGTCTCTCCGGGCCGGCACCATGCAGACCTTTCTGAAGGGGAAGCGGGTGGGTTACTGGCTGAGTGAGAAGAAGATCAGGAAGCTGAATTTCCAGGCCTTCGCCGAGCTGTGCCGGTAAGGAGGCGGCCCTCGCCACGCCGCGGGGAGCGCCAGGGCGGCCGTGAGGCAGTTGGGGCGGGCGGCGGCCTCGGGGCGCGGCGGCCTCGGGATGGGACCGGGGCCGCGTTGTTCCGGGCTCGGCCGTGGCCTGCGCCGGCTCTCGGGCGTTTTGTGCTCGGTGCGCGACTGCCTTCAGCAGGCTGTGTCCGCCGGGACCTGGGGGGAACAGGACGGGTCGGTGCCCGCGGGGCCGCGGCTGAGGTCTCCTGCTTCCTGCTCACCTGGGCGCTGCTGCACGCTCCCGGGAAACTCGCTCTGGGGCGGTGAGCAGCGTCCCTGTGTGTCTCTGTGTGTGAGGGCCCGGCACAGCCCTGGTTTACTGCCTGGGAGCATTTCTGTTCACCGCTTCCCAAAAGGTCTCTAGTACTCCCGGTGAAATAGTCTCATTTGCAATCTCTGAGGAGCTTGCTAAGATTTGGAGCTGAAGCAGAGTTATTAGGAAGAGTCTGGGAGTAGCTTACCTTCATGTCCTGCAAAAAACACATGAAAATAGGGTAATGCAAATCCCTGAGTGAGCTTGTATTCACCCGAGATGTAAATTACATGTCTGAAGGTGGTGTACCTGCGCCTATTTTCTGCAGTCCCAGAGGTAAAGGTTAATTCGATAAGCTGTAATTAGACTTTATCTGAATAGCTTAGAGGATAATATATGCAGTATATTACAGAGTTTTATTATGTAATTGAAAGTGTAAACTCCATGTGGGTCCAAGGTCTTGTGACACATGCATTACAGCTTCTTATACTGAATAAAAGCTTTTTCTTGTTAATTTCATTCTAATAGCAAGTTTGTAACAAGTATAGGGAATCAATTTTGATGATTGAAAATATTCTAAATAAACCATATTCTGGTTTGTGTGGAATCTGTTCAGACTTTGCAGAATATATTTTACGTGACTTGAGTACGCTTCATTAGTGCATATCATGCTAAAACCACCAATCCCTGTCAAATTTCTGTTGGCAGCACTTGCTCCTTTCTATAGAGATGAAGGAGGCAGAAGAAACAGAAAACTATTTTGAGAGAGTGACTGAAGCTTTTACATCAGCTTGTGTTCTTGGCATTCTGTATCCTCTCTGTCAAACTTCAGAAAAACTTAACAGAATTTTTTAAAGTATGGAAAAGGACACAGGTTATGGTTTAATGTCTTCATAAATTTCATGTGTTTCTTCAAACATAATATTTCTGGATGAATAATGCTAAGCTTTGACTTTGCCTAAGATTTTTGGTTATTTTTTGTAATGCTTTGTGCCCAAAAGCTAAGGGGAATCTCAGAAAATACGTAAAAAGCTATTTGTAGTAGTTTGTCTTTCATTTTTGGTATTATGTGCTTTACATTTTTATGTTTAGGAATCTCCAAAACTGACTTTCTGCCCTCTGCTGTCCTTGTTTCTCTTTTTGACTAGGTTCTTTGCTTTGTTTTGCTCTACTTCAGAAATTCCTTACACTTGTGTTGCATAACATGGGTATACAATTTCTTTGGGTGCTCTACAAATTTATTAATAGTTTTTAGGTCTGCAGCACTGTGAAAACTGACCCAAAGTGTCTCTCTTGCTACAGTTTTCTAATTTATTGATGAAAATTAGGCTGTCTCATTTGGTACAGGCTAATCTCTCTTTGAATAGTGTTTACATCATTGGACAGATAGGTCTGTTCAGTCATGCTTTGATATTTTTAAAAGCATTTAATATTAGCCTTTCTGTAGAAGTGAAGTGTTTGGTTTAAAGCTCAGTGCAGTTGCTGGAGCAGGTTGTACTGGTATCTTGGATGCTCTCTTCCTTTCCTTCCCAGTAATGTCCACTGACACTGGTGGGAAGCTGCATTTAATTGGGCATAGATTTCAAGTATTGTATGCATAATATCTACTTGATTACATGTGTGTT